AGTCTTTTATAAAAATAAGATTTCCTCACCAGATGGACACACTTTTTCTTACCGCTTTCCTCCCGTTGTGGAGCTGTCCCGACTTCATCAGCTTGAGGCTGTGCTTACTGTCGCCGGCAAGAAGACATTCTCTTGGATTAATCAAGGACCAGAGGATGGCAAAATGAAACTAAACTAGCCATAGTTTCCAAAGCATTATTACAGCTACATTAGGAGCAAAAAAAAACCCAAAACAAAACATAAAAGGCTGGCAGCACTAACCCACTTTATTTTATTATAATGTATAATCCATTTTGCTAGATGTGATCTTACTGTCCTATGGCCAGAAATTTGGAGTACAAGGTTGAAAGTTTTTTTAAAAAGTAAAACAGTGTGGAGAAAATCATTAGTAGAGAGAATCAGTGGCAAGTCACTGAATTCTTGGCAATGCAAAGTTTTGCTTGTTCCTATTTTTTCCCCCTTGGGCTACTGGGTCTTTTTGCTTACTTGTTTTGGAGGATTTTAGTTGACTTGTGTGCTAACATGATATTGTCTGGTTGTCATGAATTGTTGGTTGTTTCTGAGATGTTTTTGAAGTATGGTAGTACATACCTTTTCGTAGCTTGTGTTGATTGTGCTGCAATGGTTGAATATTTTAATAAAGCTGCATGGGTATTCATTTTGCTGGAAGAGGTTGTATGGATATTTCCTTTTTCCCTTTCCATGTTCTGGATTGCTGCAAAGTGTTTGCATTAGAATTCTTCTTGGCTGAATTTTTCCCATGAGTTGAACATTCTAAAAAATGTCAACCAACTTAAGCTTGAACCTTTTAAAAAATAATCAAATAAATCCAAATTTGTGTTTGAAAAGAAAAACACTTTAGAAAACAGTTTCATATCTTTCCTCTCTTTAGAGGATAGTCTTTAAAATACAGTATATGTTCATTATTAATAATCTTACTTCAGTGGCCATTTTGAGTAGTGGCTACTCAAGTTAGAAACTGGGAGACTGGAGTTCTAGTTCTGCCTTAGGCAGAAGCAGTTGGGTGACCCTGGGCCAGTCACTCTCTCTCAGCCCTAGGAAGAGGTAATGGCAAGCCACTTCTGAAAAATATTGTCAAGAAAACTGCAGGCAGGACTTGTCTAGGTAGTCACCAAGAGTGAAGACAGTCTTAAACACACAAATATAGACACACATATAAATATTATAGGTTATCACAAGGATTTCACATTGGGGATTCTTGCATAAGCTGATGTTTCTGCGTGTCATTCTGTCCATCCACAAAAAAATCTGGTATTTTGTACTAGCAGAAAAAAAAAATAGCAGGTGCTATTTTTTGTGTGTCCTTTACCTAAGGTAATACTAATGTAAATGTAATGTAATGTAATGTAAGATTTCTTTTTCTGCACTTTTGGTATTGCAGCATGCACATAAGATATAAAACCTATCCTGATTTCTAAAGTATGTAACATGTGAATTTGAGGTATGCATCTTGCATATGTTTTACAATGTCCTGTTTGTTTCTGGCTTAGAGATATTTCTGATTATTTGTAGAACCCTGCTTGATAAGGAATGACTTATATTCTCTGCTTCACTGCTAATTGATTCATTTTGATTTTCTCAGAAATACTGGAATTTGAGATGCTTTTAAGATGTGTTCTTATATAGACAATGAGTTCTGTAAATTAATTGTAATTATAATCAGGGTAAATTCCACTCTGTTATGAGTAAACACAACAACAAATAAAAACAAAATCTGGGAGATTATCCAAAACACCCTAACCCAAAGCAACCAACTCTGAAATGTATTAATGTATATCTTAGGATTCTTGGGCATGCACTGATATATGCCTAAAAATCTTAGTAGTACATATAAACAGTCATTGATATTTTCAATTGCATATATCATATGTATCACATATCATGCTGTCAGAGAGGGCCTACTGTGGATCCAATCAGTCAATGAACTCTGACCATTGGGATGCAGAAGAAGAGCCTTCTCTGCAGTAGTGCCCGCACTTTGGAACATCCTACCCTCCAAGGTGAAACTTGCCTCCAGCCTCCTATCCTTCCGTAAGAGTCTGAAGACTTTCTCTGCCAGTTGGCCTGAGGCCCCAATAGGGGACTACCGCATTGGAGGTGACTACTAGATTGATACCTAACCCCACCTCTCCCCTTGCTCCTTGCTTTCCCAACCACCCAACTTCTCATATCGCTATGTCGTTATTCTTGTAAGCTGCCAAAAGTAGCCCCCACAATGAGTTAGGCAACAAATAAATTTAACAAACAAATAAATATATCTCCCTCCTCAGTCCTCCATCTCCAATTCCCTAATGCATTTCTAAAGATCTGTGAAGCAGCTCTCCCAGTATGGAAATAAAAAAAATGCTTCCAGAATTTGGAACGATGGAATAATGCTTCTGTACAATCATGTATCATAAACGCATAAATAAAATCCCTATTCCTAGACATATTAGATATAAATACAGCTAGTAGAGTATAAGGTTCTCCAAACCAAACTATTAAGAGGTTGTATCAAAAAAAAAAACTTCGATACTTTCTTGTATCAGTCTATTGTTTCCAATTTTTCCATTTGAGGTTTAACTTATTGTTTATATATTAAAACAAGAACAAAAATCAGAATCATACTGAGAGCAAAAAATGAGAATGATTTTTTTTCAGATTCCAATGAGAGGATAGTACCCTACTCTTAACCCAATCAAATGTGATCTTTTCCACTTCCAATTTGAGGTATACACTAGTTTGATGTTGTATACTCACAAACACATTCATTTATGGGATTCTTTGTGAAGAGTACGCCCATAATTATTGATGGTGTCATCTTTAATTACAGTAATGAATTTAGCAAAATGGTAGCAGAAGAATATCTCTGTTTCTTCGACTTTACTGGATTGACCTTGGATAAAGCACTCAGGTGAGCAGGGTTGATTGATTACTAATGGATAATTGAATCTATTAATTTTATGCTTCTGGAATTTTGCAAAATTAACTTAACCATTTTTAGGGTTAAAAAAGTAAAAGAGATAGCATTGGTTGTTTATAAACAAGCACTGTTCATCTCTAAATAAAATATTGAATATTATAAAAGCTAAAGAAGTTTGAAATGTTTGTTGGTTGAGCAGAAACCATATACCATAACCATCCCCTCCGGGGAAAAGGGCGGCATGTAAGTGCAATAAATTCAATTCAATACTGACACACTGACACACTGAGTAGTCTGATCCACATGTGAATATTATTCTCTCAGGCCTCTTCTCTTTATCCATTGAGCATGATGGCAAACCATGACCCTAGTTTACCTTTGCTTCGCTTGTAAAGTTTAATAAATAGCAAGGTGAAGATGTCTTCCTATGAAAAACTAGTACGATGTTTTCATCCAAAACGTTTGGACTCCATAGAGAGCCAGTTTGGTGTAGAGAGCCAGTAAGGTGCTGGCCTGAACCAGGAAACTGTGAGTTCTACTCCCACTTTAGATATGAAAGCCAGCTGAGTGAGTTGGGCAAGTCACTCCGTCTCAGCCCAACTCGCCTCATAGTGTTGTGGGAAAACTAAGAGCGCGAGGGCGCGTCATGTATGTTTGCTTCCTTGAGTTACCCATAAATAATAATAAAGGCAGGATTTAAGAAAGTAAATAAATGTCCATGGGCTGAAAGGCAGGATTAGGGTGTGAGGGCACACTTCTAATAAAAAGGCTATGGGGAAAACTCCGACCTTACCTTAACCTCTCTCTTTACTGCAAATTACCGTACATTTTCCAAAGGAACTTTTTCTGTTTAAAGTGCTATCTGTTTTCTTTACATGTTTATCCGTAAAACAAAATTATGCCTTCCATTTCAGATTTCTAATCAGGGTGTTTTCAGGGCAGTCGCAGCCATATCATCTAAATTCCACCCCTTTTTTACATGCATTGCAAAATATTTATTTATTTATTTATTTTTAGTTAGTTAGTTTGTCAAACATGTACGAGATAACATGTCTAAATATAAACATGGACATGAACACAGGAAATGGGTACGAATAAATGGGGACAGTAGGACCATAGCTGTGGCCACTACTGATTTTGTTCCCCCCCCCCTCCTGTTTCTAACTCTTACATTGGTTTGGTTAGGTTAATATACTTTTCTTTTGGATCTCTGACATATTCCTTTCTATTGCTTCTATGCTTTTCAAACAGAAGGCATTCCACTGTAGATAAGTATATGATACACATTGAAGAAAACAATTCTAACTTCACATCTAAGCCAGTGAATTAGCAGAGACAAATCAGAAAAGATATCTAGTGGTTATGGTGAATAGCTTAATAAAAATATGATCTAGTCCATAGGTACTACAGTAAGTGCTTTTCACCCAGCACATTATTAAGCTATAGAATTCACTATCATGGGTTACAACTTTGATTTGATTTTAAGAGGGGTTTAGGCAATTGACAAAAGAGATAATAGCTCAATAACCTCTAGCCATAATGCTCATAGTGTATTTAATGCAGTACTAGAAGCAGGATCGCTTTTAATGCTGGTTCCTGGGGAATAGGAATTGGGAAGAGATATTACATTTATATTTTGCTATGGATTTCCTGCCGGTGTCTAATTAATTATTGTGAAAAAGCTTTTATTTGGGCATATAATCTACCAGTTCAAATGTACAGTAAATCCAAGCCATTCTGCTTTCCATTTTGCAACCTAAATTTTTAATGAAACATCTGGATATAAATTCATTGGTGTGGCAGTGATGTAGAATGTATTTAGCCCTTCGTTCTTTGGTTTTCTTTTCTTTTCATACTCATATTTCACATAAATATTGTGCATTTGATATTTTTATTCCTTTCTACAACAAAATTGTTTCACATAAGACCAGTATTATAAGCTTCCTCCAAAGGCGGCTTCTTTCTTAATGCTGTTTCTTGAAATGATAGATGACCATACCATGCAGTGCTGCCCATTGAGTGACTCCAGGGCTGCCATGAAAGGGAACCCGCCTGTTGTCTGAATGGAGGGTCTTTCTGCTATGAAAAGAAATAAAAACCAAAAGTATGAGCCACCTGCACATTTTCAAAAGTGAGGGGTGTCTTTTTTTCCATGGGAATGATAGTCACTATCTGGGCAAATTCCACCCAAGATCCTTTGGGAGCAAAACACCCAAATCAGATCTCCACAGGAGCTAGAGCAAAAGCCTTTTACACAGTCTTTGCTATTTAGTTCAAATCACTTGATGACTTACAGTCTTTAGAGTTCAAATCCTCACAGAATGTCTCTGATCCCAAAAGGTTTGGTACTTTTAAAACTTGAAAAAGTTTGATATATTAAATCTCTTGTTTGTTTAGTTGCTTTTTTAAACACTTTCTATGTTTAGAGCTTTCCTAAAAGCTTTCCCCCTTATGGGAGAGACACAGGAACGGGAGCGGGTCCTCATCCACTTCTCTCACAGATATTGTCACTGCAATCCCCAGGAGAGCACATCGGAAGGTAAGAGCTGATGCCGCTCAGATTTCAGCCTCAGACACAGATGAATTTATTTCAGTAATTCATTTATTTAAATTGTATTCAGACTCATGGCAGAATTCTCGCTTAAGAGAAACATTGCTTGAATTTATCAAAGGAATTGCACAGGGCTGTAGGGAAAAACAACAACTAATTTTTCTCTCCCTGAATAAAACAAGAGGGAATAAAGACATCAGCTGAGAAGGGATGATATTTTTCCATGGAACATGCAGATTATTAAAACATTAGAATAGTGTTTCAGATACTATTATTATTATTATTTTTCTTCCTGTCCCTATTTTCAGAAGACAATTACATACAGTATGGTGAGCTGAAGCTTGAATGCTATTAATAGGGTTCTTGATATATTTGTGGCCAAGAATAGAAGTCTCAAAAGACATGTAACAGCTTTGGTTCTGTTCACCCTTGTCTTTGATTAGCTTCAGATAGTTTTGTCTAATATGATATACAAAAATCTTGCACGTGGTGATAAACCTATTACTTCCTGCTTTTCTTCCTGTTGCTTCCCATTCTCGTTTCAGTTCCTTTTGTTTCAGTAAGTTCACTTTTTTAAGAAGGTATGATACTGTGTGAAGGAATAAGGGCCAAGTGCAGAGGCCCTACATGGCCTAGGACCTGCATACCTACGAGACCGTCTCCTGCCACATACCTCCCTTAGACCAATAAGATCGCACAGGATGGACCTTCTCCGGGTGCCTTCAGCAGGACAATGCCGGCTGGCGGCGCCTAGGAGTAGGGCCTTCTCTGTTGCTGCTCCGGCCATATGAAATGAGCTGCCCCCAGAGATCCCGGCCCTCCCCACTCTCATGGCCTTTCGCAAAGCCATTAAAACCTGGCTTTTCTGGCAGGCCTTCTGATTGGGTGTTTGTTGTGTTCCTTTTTTAACTTCGTGTGTCCTATTGTTTTTAAGCTCTTTTAAATTTTTTATTCTGTAAGCCGCCCGGAGTCCTTCGGGATTGGGCGGCATAGAAATCAAATAAATTCAATTCAAGGAGACTGCACAAGAAGGATATAATTAAGTACTTAAAGAGGTACCATCCATAACACTTGAAATATCAAATGGTATATTTATTATATCATGTAGTTTAGGCCAGTGTTTCTCAACCTTGGCAACTTGAAGATGTCCGGGACAGCAAATGCGAATGCTGGCTGGGGAATTCTGGGAGTTGAAGTCCGGACATCTTCAAGTTGCCAAGGTTGAGAAACACTGGTTTAGGCTGAAATATTAGGACTTTGTGAGTAAACCTGATGAGGTTTGAGTTGGAGATTCAAAGAGGAAATGGGTTGATCCACTTCCCTAATGCATTTCCAAAGGTCTGTTTTTTCAACTTGGCAACTTTAAAAAAAGTGTGGACTTCACATCAGAATTCCAGCTAGCATTCTGGCTGGTGAATTATGGGAGTTGAATTTCCTGCATCTTAAAGTCAGATTTCAGATTCATATTAACAGAGTTGGAAGGCACCTTGTAGGTCATCTAGTCCAAACCCCTCCCCCCAAGCAGGAGTCCCTACACCATTTCTGACGGATGGCAGTCCAGTCTCTTCTTGAAAGCTTCCAGTGATGAAGTTCCCACAACTTCTGAAGGCAAGTTGTTCCATTGGTTGATTGTTCTCACTGTCAGAAAATTTCTCCTTATTTCCAGATGGTTCCAGATTGTCCTTGTTCAGCTTCCATCCATTATTCCTTGTCTGGCCTTCAGGTGCTTTGAAAAATAGCTTGATCCCCTCCTCTCTGTGCCAGCTCCTCAAACACTGCTATCGTGTCTCCCCTGGTCCTTCTCTTCACTAGACTAGCAACGCCCAGTTCCTATAACTGTTCTTCATATGTTTTAATCTCTAGTCCCCTAATCATCTTGGTTGTTCTTCTCTGCACTCTTTCTAGAGTCTCAGCATCTTTTTTATTGTGTGGCAATCAAAACTGAATGCAGTATTCTAGGTGTGGTCTTATTAAGGCTTTATAAAGTGGTATTAGTATCTCATTTGATCTTGATTGTATTCCTCTGTCAATGCATTGGCTTTTTTGGCTGCTACCACACAGTGTTGGCTCATATTTAATTGCTTGTCCACTAAGACTCCAAGGTCCCTCTCACAGTTACTGCTATTAAGCCTGGTTTCACCCAGTTTATATGTGTACTTTTGGTTTTTCTTGCCTAAGTGTAGGATTTTACTTTTCTCTACATTGAATTTCATTTTGTTAGATAGAGCCCAATGTTCTAGGGTGTTAGCTATTCCTGCTAGCTTAAGTATCATCTACAAATTTGGTAAGTTCCCCTTCTATTCCCTCATCTAAATCATTTATGAAAATATTGAAGAGTACTGGGCCTAAGACGGAATGTTGTGGTACCCACTTCTTACTTGATTCCATGTAGATGTAGTACCCTTAAGGGCTACTCATTGAGTACGGTTTGTCAGCCAGTTATAAATCTGATGATGATGCTATCTATCCCACTTTTTTCTAGCTTACCAAGAAGTATATTGTGGTCTACGTCTTAAAGTCCACACATCTTAAAGCCTATACTCATGATTTGAGCTTTGAAGACAAACCTATTTAACTCAATCTGCTTCAAAATTCATCTGAAAAGAAATCAGCCCAAAGGCTATAACGGGGAAGCATAAAATATCTGCAGATGCTTTGTTGAGGGGCAAAATGGGATAGAAATAAGAGACATTTCAGAGATGTAATAACTTGGCTGTTTCAGAAGGCCTTTGGAAGATGATTATTTTATATTTGTTGGCATCATGTTTGTTATTTTAAAAAAAAAATATTATAACATGTTTTGGTTTTATTGTATTTATTGTAACACACACACACACACAAACATTATTGCTAGTGCTTTTGTATGCCTCCTAAAGTTCTAGGGACTGAGTTGGTTTATAGATTTCACATATTTTACATTAAAAAATAAACGCCAATTTTAAGTGTTCTCTAATAACCCAAAAATTTAATAAGGTGATAAAATTCACTGACTGCCCACCGCTATCTATTCTGTCTCTACTGTGTCTGTTCAATTCACTGTTCCTGATTTTCTGTGTGTAGTGAATGGTAAGCAGAACAATTTACCAATTGCCCCTCTTTGACATATCAACAGATCAGATGGAAAAAAACTTGTGGCACTATAGCAGAAATGGAGTCGGCGCTCTGGCTATAGGTTATCTTTAGGCTTCTTCCTTTGCGCCCCCTGCTCCTACATTCATGCTGTTATAACTGGAGCCGAATAAAAGAAAAAAAACCCAACAAACAAATCAATATCGTGAACAGAGCCGAGTCTCAATCAGTTTCCTTACTTCCTCATAGATAGATAGATAGATAGATAGATAGATAGATAGATAGATAGATAGATAGATAGATAGATAGATAGATAGATAGATAGATATA